TCCTTGCTGGGCGTCGGAATATATAATTCGTTCCTGAAGGCAGTTCCACTAAGAAAAATCTTTCTTGTGACAACAATTTTAGGTTCTGCCCTTGGAATGACACAGGTCCTCTTCTCTGCGTACTTATTCTAGCAGTCCTACTTACTCTTTGTTGGCAAATCATGCTTAGGTCTTGTGTGTTTCCACTTCCAGGTTCTTCTTGTCACTGGGCTCAATAGGAAGCTGGGGATAAGTGATGAATGGTTCTCCATTGGGGATTCCTTGATTCTCACAGTCCTTGGTCAGGTATGGAACACTATTGCAATGATTAGTTAACTCGGGGACTACGCATTTGCATTTGCTCCTTTTCACATTTATGATTACACTCTTCTGACACAAACACCAATGATGTCCAAAATTGTTTGTTAGGCTTCGTTCATGCCCGTGTTGGTGTTGGCCGCGAGATTGTGTCCTCTGGGAGTGGAAGCGACATTGTTTGCTACACTGATGTCCATTTCCAACGCGGGAAGTGTTGCCGGCGGTCTGGTGGGCGCGGGCCTAACTCAGTTTCTAGGACTCACCAAGGACAACTTTGAAAATCTGGCTCTGCTGATCGTCATCTGCAACCTCAGCTCTCTGCTGCCTCTGCCTCTCCTGGGTCTCCTTCCAGATGGATCACCGGATGCCGATAATGGGCAAACAAAAGTCGATTGAAATATTTTGAGCTTCTCTTAGGGATTATAGACTCAGAGATAGTCAGATCCTGGCGTGAACTCGATCACCAGGGCGAGACGGGATGAGAACTGCAGAGATGTCAGATCCTGGCGTGAACTCGATCACCAGGGCAGACGAGATGACAACTGCAGCTAACTTTGGGCATTTGCTGGCGTGGTGCACGGTTGATTGTTGAGAAGAGCGCACCCCCAGCAGAAGGTGAAGTTCTAGATGACCGCACACCACGCTGCTCTTACCTGTAATAAAACTCCGCACCATCGCAGTCAAGATTCATGGTAATCTACATGCAAATTTGATGATGTTAGCTCGGCTGGGAAGAAGATGTGTCGTCTTGCATCACCGTTGATTCTCTGACATCTTTCTTAGGTAAATTAAATGCGGTAGATGAACGCGAAGACTGGCTGCACCAATGACTGCATGTATATACTACATTATCTCACTTTGCTATGCATGTATATACAGATATCCTTTCTTAAAGAAAGGAAACAAATGTGGAATGTGGAGCGAGTTTCGTACTGCTACATATTGCAGTCGATGCCAAAACCGACTGTGTAAGGGGTTATCCCAGGTAGCTTTTGTTGGGACGGACCGTAAAAAATATGAGCCGATTGTGAGTGTGGCACCATCGTGGGCGGTTTATGTGGACAGCTGACTGCTTTTGTCTGAAGATTGAAATATTGATTTAGGAAGCTCTTTTAGTAATGATAGGAAGTTTAACTATTACAATCTGATCAATGCACAAATGAATGAAATCGTCCAAAATCAATCCTGGAGTCTCGGCAATCTACCGGCTCCCGTGTACGACATGAGGATTGACCTACGGGCATGCACCTTTACCTTAATTCTTCTTTCTTTCTTCCCTGATCTCTGGATCTCCACCTTTGTAACGCTTTTATCGCTGCTCTCAGCTATCTTTCAAAAAATACTGGGTTCCCGTGGACGACATCAGGATGTGCATGCGGCGGTGAGCTTTGGGGGATGAAAGGAACAATGTGCCGCCAATGACGAAACGACATTCATTGGCAACATCATGCAGCAAAATTTTCACATTCTCTACGACCTGGCCAGCGGCATCGTATCTTCCAGCTGGAGGAGTGCACCTCCCTCTAATGGAGATAAGGCTTGTAGACATGCCCCTACCAGCTAGATTTGAACGAGGCTTTGCATAAATATACAAATCATAGACATGCGTATGAGTATCGCTCCGCTGCTAGACTTAAATAAGGTTCAAGGCATAACAATGTAACAATGTAAAGTTGGCTTTGGTTTGCTCCACTATCTCAGATACAAATTCAAAGTTTCTCTCCAGGAGATTCATGGCAAGAACCGGAGTAAGATACCAGGTGAGATTATATAGATGGAGCATGCAAGCATAAAATTCATGAGCGCGAGTTCCTTCACACATCTACTCTACTGTTCATCCTAATGCCATGATTAACCGGTGTTCAATCTTGTTCATGGTAAACACACGCATTGGTGAATCAGTTACACACTCATGCTTGAAGCATGAGAGGCATTAGCCTGTGTAATATATATACCATGCTTAATTAACGTGTTATCTCTAGAAATGTTATAATTGGTGTGAGCATGAGCAATATATTTAGGTGGGGGAGCTCCCCCATTCCGCAGAAAGCATCTAAAACTCCCTCAAAATTTTACTCTCAACGACGATAATATATGTATAAGGTGTGCGCTATTATATGCAGTGCGCTCTCCACCCACGTGCACTACTAAAATGTGTTGTCTTAAATTTATGTCACAAGGTTGCAAAACTATCATGGATCTGTTTACAGGTATGTGGTTACTGGAATATGTTTTTAATCAGATGAGAACTATTTTAAAAAGAACGATTAGCCAAATGATAAAATAGACAATAGCAAGGTAGGTGGACAAACACTATTACAAGAACACAAACAAATAAAAACACTATTTCTCTGGGGCAACATGGGCCAAGCTTGTTCTTAGAACCCGTTGTTCGATGTGGTGTGAGCCAGACTCGCTCAGTGGGCTCAGTAGGTATCCACTCCCAACTCTAACAAAGTGTGGGCTGAGTGTAAGGAGAAGATGGAACATGTTTCAGACTTCAGAGGATTGCTCGGATCCAACAAAGCGCCTAGCGAATAGCCCAAAAAAAAGAGAGAGAGAATTCACTAGTTGAGGATGAGGACTACCTTACGCAAAGGTTACCTCAAAATCGACCGATGCAATGAATGTGTACCACTCGTCACCACCAAATAGTTTTGAGATGTTTCTATGAATGTTCGTTATACTGTCATGATTGAAGATCTATTATTTGAGATGTTTTTATGGATGTTCGTTATACTGTCATGATTGAAGATGAATATATGTTAAGTTTTTACGCAAAAAAAAAACACTATGCTTGTTCATTTTGCTGTTTACCGTTGCAACTTTGGTTTCACTCTTTGACAGGGACTTGAGGAGAGGAGAAGCTCTGAGAGCAACTTCAACGGGTCGACTCAAACGGACAGCGATTTCGTCCGTTTTTTGTTTGTTTGGATTGGCCAGACGGATACGGATGTCCGCTTTCACATTTGGGTCGGCGTGTGCGCCCAACGCTGGCCTGAACCCATTTTTGACGGTACAAAAGAAAATTGAACGCATGCATACTAAAAAGAAAAAACAACATTAATTAAACATTAAAGCCGGTCACGAAGGCCGACGAGAGTTCACGCGTCCACATTTGCATTTAAAAAATAATAATAATAGCCTAAACTACGAGGCGGCGCGCTGCCCTAGGCGTCCTCGTCGTCGTCCTCCGGATCCGTGAGGTCGATGAGCGTCGGCGCCGGCCCGGCCCAGGAGAACACCGTGTTCCAGAGCGCCGTCATGTCGGGCTGTGCTGGCGCAGGCAGTGACGACGCGGGGGGTTGTGCGGCCGCGGCCTGGCGCGTCTCCTCCTCGACCTCGCGCTACTCCTCCTCGAGGTCGCGCTCGAGCATCTCGAGGTACTCACCGTCGCGGCGCTCCTCGGCCACCCTGATCTTGCGCCAGTGCTCGAGGTACGCCTGCTCCCGCGCCAGCGTCGCTCCCATCCAGACCGGCGGCGCGCGTACCCACTCGCGCACTACTCCGTCCAGGAGTAGCGCTCGATGGGGGACGGCTCGGGCTCCGGTTCCGGCTTGATGGGGGACGGCGGGGCCACCGGCGGCACCGCGCTGTCGCCCGCCGCGGAGAGGGCAAGGGGCTGCGCCATTGCTGCCTCGTACCGAGCCTCCTCTTCCGCCTCCGCCCTGCGTCGCTCGTCCTCCTCGCTCTCTCGGCAGACGGCCGCAAGGGTCTCCTGGTAGGCGTCCTCCGCCGCCTGGTCCTCCTCGCGGACGACGAGCGCCGGTGGCGGCGACCTCCGGTCGACCTCGCGCACGCCCCGTCGCCTCGCCTTCTCGTGCTCGAAGGCGAACCACCTCGCCCAGTTGGGTGAGTCGGTTGCGTAGGCGGGGTCGCTGCGCTGCTTCGGCGTCAGCAGCGCCTGCCGGCGCTGCACCTCCTCCGCGTGAGCACGAGCCGACCGCGGCGCCGCCGACACTGGGATCCTATCTGGATTCAGATGCCAGTCGTGCAGCGTCACGTTGGGATACGACAGAGGCTGGCGGTGCTGCCAGTGCCACTCCACCTAGTGCACTGGCACGTTCACGCGCTGCCTCTGCCGGCGAGGCGCCGGCGCCGACGGAGGCGTGAGGAAAGGGGTGGCGGGGGAGTTGCCCTTGGCCTTGCTGCCGCTGGCGCCGGAGAAGAGGCCCATCTCGTTGTGGTTGTGGTGGCTAGGGTTGCCGGCGACGAGGGAGCAAAAGATGGCAGATGTGGACGGCGAGTTTGGATGAGGACGGTCCCGTCGCACGGTCGGCTTAAAAAAAACGAGCGTCGTCGCTGACGCGTGGGCCCATCGTCATAAATTAAGTTGACCGCATGAGCAGCGGGTAGTTGGACGGCCGCCATGTGGGGACGCGACGGACGCGACGTGACAGTTTGGGTTGCACATTTTGACGACCGTCGATCAATCAATCGACCAGACATTAACACGGTTGCCTGCTTCTTTTCGGCAGCAGAGGAAGGGATGAAGTGAGTAGGACTGCTCTGTCTGGTGCGGGAACCACGTGAAGGGGTTCGACCGGTTGGGGAAAACGTCTCTCTCAGTCCCAGTCACCCTTCTTCTTCTTCTTCTTTTTCTTCTTCTTCTTCTTCTTCTTCTAATTATTCTTCCAGCCTTCCAGCCGTTCACCAAAGACACCAGAGAGAAAACGCAGGGTGCTAGTTCGGCGGCTTCGGCCATGGAGCTGGAGCTGCCCAATGGCCCGGTGAAGCGAGAAATGGTTGTGCATGAAGCAGCCGTCCGAGGAGGAGGAGGAGGAGGACATGGCGGCGACATGAGGATGAGGATGGATGTTACCGTGAGGATCAACGCCGACATGTTTCACTGCCCCATCTGCTTCCGCCCCTTCAAGCCTCCCGTCTTCCAGGTCGGACCAATTATCTTTACTCAACACCCGATTAGTCAAATACAGCAGCTGCAGCTGCACGTACAGATTTTATTTCCTTCCCTCGATGAATGGATCTATGCAGTGCGAAGGCGGGCACTTGGCTTGCGGCAGCTGCGTCGTGGAGCTCCCCTGGCAACAGTGCGGCAAATGCGAGCACGGCGGCGACTTCCACGCCTGCCCCTTGCTCGACACCTTCGTCTCCTCGGCCAGCGTCCAGTGCGACCACCACGGCTGCGGGCGCTACGTCACCTACCACGAGGCCGGCCAGCACCGGAGCGCGTGCCCGCACGCGCCCTGCTCCTGCGCGCTGCCCGGCTGCGGCTTCCTCGGCCCGCCGCCGGCGCTCCTCCTTCACCTCAACGCGCTGCACTCAGTGCCCGTGCACGACGTCCCGTACAGCAAAGCGCTCCTGCTGCAGGTACAGGCGTCGCCGGAGCCGCGGCACCTTCTTCGCGGGGAGGAGGACGGCCGCGCGTTCCTCCTGGTCGCCGGCGCGCACGGTCCGGGAGCCGCGGTCACGGTGTCTGTCGTGTGCATCAGAGCGGCCGCGTCCCCGTCGCCGCGCTACTCGGTCAAGCTGTGGGCCAACGGGCCACCGCCGCCGGCCAACCGCAAGATGGACACCATCTGGGCGGACTTTGAGGCGACGAGCAGCACGTCGCCGGGCACCGTCGCCCTGGAGGAGCTGACGTCTTTCTTGACGGTACCACCGCGGTATCTACATGGGGCTGGGGCGTCCAAGGAGTTGCCTCTCCACGTTCGCATCGACAAGATCACCTCCTGATCTCTTCCACTACTCTTAATCTTCCAGTGGGCATATGCCTAAGAAGTGATGTATTTTGGTTACTTGGTTGTACTCCCTTGGTCGCAAAATTCTTGTCTTAATTTTTTTAAATAAGGATGTATTAAATCATATTTTAGTATTAGATACATTTTATCTAGACTAATATAAGACAAGAATTTTGAGACGGAGGGAGTGCCTAATACATGTCTTGTGGCAGGTATTTTGGTTGTAATACTTTGAGATCAATCGAGGTACTTCGCTAGTTCCGACAGTGGAAGGGTAGTTTGAGGCTGTTGGATTCATTGTAAAACTTTTGGGCAGGAAAGAAACCATCCTCCACAGGTTCTGGGGCTGCTCTCACTCTCAACTTTTCTGGGATCTGCTCCGCACCAAGCACGGCGTCGCTGTGGCCGCCCCGCCTCTCCACTCCGAAACTCACACGGCGCTGGCTCGGTGGCTTCTATCTTGGTTCGCTGAAGCGGGCGATGATGAGCGGGCGGCCATGGTTCAGGCGATCTATGGTCTTTGGCTCGCGAGGAACGAGACTCGGGAGGGCAAGCGGATTGCTGCTCCGGAGGAGATCTCCGTTAGGGTTCTTCGCTGCATGCAGGACTGGCGCATGGCCCATGATACTCCTGCCCGTGTCCCGACGGACAAACCTACTCAGCGCTGGGAGGCCCCGGATGCTGGTTGGTTCAAGGTCAATTCTGACGGGGCCCTAGCCAGAGGAGGTGCCAAGGGTGGCGGTGGTGCTATTATCAGAGATCATAACGCGGGGTTTGTGGCGGGAGCATGCTATTTCTTCCCTGACATCTCTGACCCGGAGGCTGCTGAGATTATGGCTAGTTTGGAGGCGGTGGACTTGGCGAGGGATCTTCATGTTCAGCGCATCCATCTCGAACTTGACAGTCAGGGCATCGTTGGCATGATCAACAGCCCCAAAAAGAACATGTCTCTGGTTGGGCCCTGGATCGAAGAGCTCAAAACTCGCCTTCGTGGTTTTTTAGACTCCAGAGTTACCTGGGTTAGGCGCACGGCTAATATGCCTGCCCACAAACTTGCTAAGTTAGGTGTTGGTGACGAGAGGTGCTATGTGTGGCTTGAGGTTCCTCCAAGTTGTATTCTGGATGCTGTCTCGGATGACATTCCGAGCTTAGTTTAATTATATTCGTGTTTTCCCTCAAAAAAAAAACTTTTGGGTAACTAGTGAACGTAAATACGATGGAAAATATATTATAACTAGTAGAATGCCCATGCGTTGCCACGGGCTATTAATTTTTCTTATTGCGTCTATGAATACATTGCAAATCAAATTCTGCATGTATATATTTTGTCTGATTGCGCATATAATGTATCTTATATTCCGCATGTATAAAAAAGATAGCCTACAACAATTACAAAATAATTGAAATCCACATCACCTACAATGTACAATGTATATATAGGGTCATGTAATTATATGTTACAAACTAAGATCTACTTGATGCAATCAAGATATTCCCTTACATGATCAGGAATATTATTTTTAGTTTCATTTGCACTATACTTCAGCAAATGTAATAAAAAATTATTTCTCAACTCATAACCATCATGCACAACAATATATATAATTAGCATGAAGATTTAATCAAGTTTTTTTTAGAAATTGTTCATTCAAATCACGAATCAGTACAGAGTAGATGACCCTTACAAGCACACTGAAACGCAAAAACAAAGGACCATGAACATCTAGAGTACCCTAAGACAACCATAACACAAAAAGATCTCCGGTGTCATCATCCCTGAATCTTGAAAGAAGACCCCTGCAGCAGAAGGACATGCAACCAGTCGCAAACAGGTCATCATCTTCGACCACGGTATAATTGCCGCCACGCTGCTTCCTCCTTTCTTGACACCAGCGCTGAGAGAGCATGGCCATCAATCCAACACACCTGCAATAGCCGTCGCCATCTTTGGCTTTGAGTACCGCGAAAAGTGTCCCTTCCAGAAAAAAGAGAACTCGAGTCATCCGACCAGTCCAGCACCGCGGCCGGGCCATCTGCCCGGGCAAAGCAGGATCTCCCACCAGCATCAACGCAGAGGAAGGAGAAGAACAACAGCAGCAAATCGTACCAACAAGGAAGAAGAAAGGTCTTCATCTCCCTACCTCCATCGCCCATCTGAGGACCCAAACGGCCAGTGCCGATGGACCTCCAACCATCATAGCCCGCGACCTCGACAAGATCCGGAGATCCCCAACACCGCTGTCTCCTAGACGAAGGCAAAAGCCTCGCCTGACCGCGAACGGAGCCCGAAGAAATTTATTCCGACGCGACACCACCACAACGGCCTCGGCAGCGTCTCCCTCAACCCTAACCCTACCACACACCAACCTAGCGAACAGACCCAAGGTTCCCCTCCCTCCCGCCGCCGAAGCGGCCGACCGAGAGAGAGGGAACCGGCGGCGTCACCGGCGGCACGCAAGGGACCCCTAGTCGTCTCCTTGATCGCCTCGAGCGATCCAATTTTTCCGGGGGTGCGGTTGCGTATCTGACCTGACTGTTACGTGAATGACCACGCACCGTCGAAGATTTAATGAAGTTAACGTGTACCTATAGATTTCTCGTGCACATTTGGGGTCTATGTTTTTACCAATAAATCACTCAACATCTTCTTCTTTCTCCACCAACTATCTCCGTAGCCTAGGTTCACGTCCACCACCTCAATTAGTGACATATCGGGCTCTCATTCCCTCATTCCACCTCAATCAAAACACACTTTGAATTTCAAACACGTAACTATGCACTTGTGCTATATTTCACACTAAAGCTCTTTATCTCTTCACCCTGTCTCATTGTAATATGCAAGTGCCCTCTCTCCTTACAACCTGACTTTCACACACTATATATATCTGTCTCTCGCCCCCCTTGTGTCTACCACTCTTCATATATCTCTCTCTCCCCTTCCCTCTCCAAACATCGCTCACTCTCCCACCCTCTACTCTCTCTCTCTCTCTCACTCGCTCGCTTGCACGCACACACACAGGTTAATTTTTCTCAGTGTTAACATTATATGGCTATAGTATGTCCTAGAAGCTTATACATTAAAGGAAAACCTTAACCTTTGCACGGCTAGGACAACTGTTCGAATTTAATCTTGGCTCATTTACTCCACTACTCTAGAGCACCCGAATTAATGGTTATACTCTATACAACAGACAAAAATGACTTCATAGGTTAATTTTTTTATCCACTGCTAGACTTGGCATTGGCACCATAGCAACAATTCAGATACTTATTCTTGTCTATATTATAATTTATTCAGAAAATGAGTCAAATTAACACTAAGATGAATACAAAAGGATGTATGACAAGAGATATAACATTACATAGATTGTTTTTCGAAGCAAATAATAGTTAGCAATTGTTGCACGTCAACCAATCATAAAAGTCCTCCCGTCCTACTCTGCCTTCGTCCCGCCTCCCCACATTACTTGCCTCCCAGTACGTCCCATTTCGGCTTTTCCACCCTCCCACTTTTACCTTTCATGTATGTTGCCGCACACCATTGACACCGTACGGCGGCCCGGTCTAGGAGTACACCCCGTTGCCACCAGACAATGTCACCAGCCGGGAGTACACCGGTTGGTCCATGCTAGTCAAGATTTTCGAAATCCTCGCCTTCAGTGCAAAAGAGCTTCTCAACCAGTGGCTCGCTAGCAATCTCCCTCAAATCCTACAAGAGGTTAGGTACAATTTGTTGGGGAACGTAGTAATTTTCAAAATTTTCCTACGCACACGCAAGATCATGATAATGCATAGCAACAAGAGGGGAGAGTGTTGTCCACGTACCCTCGTAGACCGAAAGCGGAAGCGTTAGCACAACGCGGTTGATGTAGTCGTACGTCTTCACGATCCGACCGATCAAGTACCGAACGCACGGCACCTCCGAGTTCTGCACACGTTCAACTCGATGACGTCCCTCGAACTCCAATCCAGCCGAGCTTTGAGGGAGAGTTCCGTCAGCACGACGGCATGGTGACGACGACGATGATGTTCTATCGACGCAGGGCTTCGCCTAAGCATCGCTATGATATGACCGAGGTGGATTATGGTGGAGGGGGGCACCGCACACGGCTAAGAGATCCAAGGGATCAATTGTTGTGTCTATGGGGTGCCCCCTGGCCACGTATATAAAGGAGTGGAGGAGGGGGGAGAGGGTCGGCCCCTATGGCGCGCCCTGGAGGAGTCCTACTCCCACCGGGAGTAGGATTCCCCCCTTCCAAGTAGTAGGAGTAGGAGTCAAGGCAAGGGAAGAGAGAAGAGAAGGAAGGAGGGGGCGCAGCCCCTCCCCCTAGTCCAATTCGGACTAGGCCTTGGGGGGGGGGCGCCCAACCTCTCCTCTCTCTTTCCCCTAAAGCCCAATAAGGCCCATATACTCCCCGGCGAATTCCCGTAACTCTCCGGTACTCCGAAAAATACCCGAATCACTCGGAACCTTTCCGATGTCCGAATATAGTCGTCCAATATATCGATCTTTACGTCTCGGCCATTTCAAGACTCCTTGTCATGTCCCCGATCTCATCCGGGACTCCGAACTACCTTCGGTACATCAATGCACATAAACTCATAATATAACCGTCATCGAACTTTAAGCGTGCGGACCCTATGGGTTCGAGAACTATGTAGACATGACCGAGACACGTCTCCAGTCAATAACCAATAGCGGAACCTGGATGCTCATATTGGCTCCCACATATTCTACGAAGATCTTTATCGGTCAAACCGCATAACAACATACGGTGTTCCCTTTGTCATCGGTATGTTACTTGCCCGAGATTCGATCGTCGATATCTCAATACCTAGTTCAATCTCGTTACTGGCAAGTCTCTTTACTCGTTCCGTAACACATCATCCCGCAACTAACTCATTAGTTGCAGTGCTTGCAAGGCTTATAGTGATGTGCATTACCGAGTGGGCCCAGAGATACCTCTCCGACAATCGGAGTGACAAATCGTAATC